TCATCTTTCATCGTGCTTAGTTGGTCACAGGGAGCATCAAAAAAGAAATATACGGTTTCCCAAACTTATTTTCACTTTTCAAAAGTTAGCTAGTCTGTTTAGAATTAAATAATCAACAGTAATTTTTATGTTATCGTCAACCTTAATGGTTGGTAATTTATTTGTAAATAAATTGTGTACGCAATGTTTACTATACAGTACACTAGTACAGATACAATAGAAAATTGGTGGTAGTCCGCGCCCAGAGCCTCCGTGCTGAGTCATATTTTCTTCGCTCTCCAAGTCTTTATAGGGGTCTATGACCTTTACATTGTATCACAAGGTCAATGAGTGAAAGGTTAACATTATAAAATGGTGAACTTAAGACAAATTCTGTTGAAACGATTTGAAAAAATCATGCTGACAGGTCGAAATTAGCGAATTAACTTGTTCCGGATTATTTTTACGCAGGATAGATCCACAGGTAATGCAGGGCTGAAGAGCCAGAGGTTGCTGTCAAAGAAAATTCCACATTTCTGAATGCAAGAGAGGTAGCCAGCAAATAGTCCTGACTTGAATTCAGTTAAAAATCTATGGTTTATTCTCGGTAATGTGGTTGACAAGAAACTGCCTGCTCCTACTACTGTTGCTGAATTAGAGAAAGTCCTGCTGGACGCCTGGAAAAACATCTACAAGGAGAATTCCGCTTATTCGATGCAAAGTACGGTAGAAGATATCCTAAAGGTAAAAGGAAAATAGCCTGTAAAATAAATTGTTAAGTATATATTATTTTGAGGAACTGTGAGTTTGTTATTAGGCTGCAAAGCATTTCTGGCCATCCTTTGGGTCTGCAGCACTTATTAGAATTTTTACCGGCCTTCTTCACTGAATAGACATAGATATTGTAAGAGATGCAACTTAGGTGGTATTATAAAGCATTCCTCGTGAGTTTGCCATGCTTTTGGCCGGTTTTAAAGCACTACTTCATATTCTACGACTGTGGTGAAAAGTGTCATTGGGCGTCATGTGTTGCATAAATTTAGTTCATTACTTACTAAAGGATAGACAATTCTGATTAATTGATGAGAATATATGTACGGCAGGACTTGGTCACTTTGAAACTTTAGACCACATGGTGTTGAACTTTACGAGAACTGTGTCCTAACACTGCCTCTCCGTTATGTGAACATTAAAGGTTTTGATTAGTGAATCTGCGTTCACGGATTGGTTACTGTGAGCACCAAACCACCAATGTTAGTATTCTCTATCAAAACCAGCAAAACACCGAGCCCGTGACTTAATGATTAGATCACTCGAATGCTTACCAACATGCTGTGGGTTCGAGGCTCGAGTGGCATGACTGGTTGATGACGACTTTCGAACCAGAACTGGCTATTCCGGTTTCACTTTTCTTTGTCGACAATATTCGTCTGTCTATCACAAGTCATTTCTGTTTACCACCGCTGTTTTATCTGATTCCTAAATTCTATTAAATGTCATTGATGCCAAGAACAGTTGGGTCATTTTGTTAGATGATTCCGACCGAGATTATGCATGGGACCCCATGATGGTGAGTGAGTTTTAATAGTATAATTGTAGGGTCGAATATTGGCTTCTTTGAACAGGTGTCCGCATTTGCGGATTTTCATTATGAAAACACAAGCTATTTTGAGAAAAACATCACTATCCTATTGCATACTTATGACGATTACTGACTCCCTATTGAGGATAATTGCCCACGTATGCGCTAACCACTTGACTTCTGGCATGCGGGCCGTGACTTGCGAAAATTTCACCAGCCCGTGGTTGATTTCACCGAAATGATAGTTCGGCCGTCCGGTTCCCCGGCACCGTCGTAAGACGAGATTTTAGCCTGTTCGTTCACCAAGGGGCGACTTGCTTTGGCCAAGTTGAGCCTCAGCACCGAATATGAGTTAGGCAGGTTGTTGCACTTGCTTACAGGACTATGACTAAAGTAACTAGCCATTCACATGGTTTCCACCTCCGCGAGAATATCTGTCTCAATAAATTTGAGTATGTGGCCAGGTCTCGTCGAATGAGCCTCAGTTGGAGAAGTGACGTCATTTCTCCACAATGCTGCCACGCGTTCGGCCATTCGCGTCTTAATAAGTCCTCCTTTGTCCGCAATTGCACCAGATCCT